TATTCCTGCTTATTTGCAATACATTTAATTTCTTTTTATTTGGTTTATTTATTTGGTTTTATTTACTTAGGTTTTTTATTTTTATTTAGGTAAAAACTAAGTAGTAAAAAGTAAGATGAAACCAAGTTTAAAAACCAACCACAAACCTTACAAAGTTGTTGAAAAAAACCCAAATTCTTCCACAATGAACAGAATAACAGCAACTGTTTACTGTTTTAATAGCAAAATACTTAGGCGTGTCAAGGGGAACCCTAATGCAAAAACATTCCCACTTCCGCCAGAACGCAATTGTGATGGGACCCAATCACTGCTCACCACAATCACAACTTCACACATTACTCAGCAGTTAACACGGACGTACCTGTGTAGCAGCAGTCAAGTTTTAACCCTTTTAACCCTTCATGGATGTGTCATCGTTACAATTCACTACATAGTGCATGCGACGCTTTGAAGCAAACGCTCAGAACAAGCCGTTGTGCTTTCGGTGCAGCTAACAATTAAATTAAAGGCACACTTTTGGCCATACACCTTCATTTTCGAAAAAAACTTCATTGTAGGCTATGTCAGAATAAGAGGCTGCCGCTCCGTTGTTTTCTGATGCTTCTACTTTTTGTAGCCCTCCTGACGTTAAAGCTCGAGAAACCCTTTAAATTCAAGGACTCAAATAGACATCTATTATTTTATTTGAAAGTTAATCGAACGAGTTCCAACTGTTTTTGTCACATGCAGAAATGTCTTACTTTAAACTCGTCACTACACCATAAAGTTTTATTACTCAGGACAGAACACATAACATTGGATACACAGTGGGTGACGTCACAATGGGTGATGTCGACACTGGTTTCAGCGGTTTCATCTTTACATTATTAGACAACAGATTTGCCGTTTTTTCCAGTGGAAATGTGACTCTTCTGAGACCAGTGCAGGAGATTTCACGGTGGGAAACAAAGTGCGAGTGACCGATGTAACGTTTACATTAAAAATCAGTCGGTTCTGCATCACAAAAACACAGATATTCACAACGTTGGTTTCCTTAAAGTTCCTAAAGTTTCAAGAGTGAAACTCAAACAACACGACAGTACGGTGTTAGTCTGACAGTACATCAACGGAACGAAACACAATAATTAAAAAAACGAAAACACAATAATCATTTTGATCGATTATCAGTGTGACGTTTCGATTTGATTCACCCATTCTAATTGGAGGCAGATTCCTCTGTGTACCACTAAAGAGGGAGCAAAAGAGCCATCAGTGGTACAGGCAGCATAGTTGGAGAACTAACTGGTCTTAAGTGCAGAAAGGTTGAAGACTTCTGAAGGGTATTTTATCAGAAATACCTAAAGTTGTTAGGACAACCTGTAAATTATAGATGGCCCCCAACTTTATGATAACAAAGCTACAACTTTATCAAACTTAAACAGTATCTCTAATGTTTACATATACAGTAACTATATATAAACATTAAACATACTGTTTGAGTATGTAGATGACACATATTTATATATCTGATAAATAGACTCTGCTCGCTCTTCATATATATGTATGTGTATATATGTATGTATGTGTGTGTGTGTGTATATATATATATATATATATATATATATATATATATATATATATATATATATATATATATATATATATATATATATATATATATATATATATATATATATATATATATATATATATATATATATATATATATATATATATATATATATATATATCCTCATCATAATATCTATTTAAGTTAATTAAATATGTGTCAGTTCACTGGAGCAACTGCTCATGTTTGCTCTTCTTCAGATGGCTGCTCTGTTGCTGGTTTCTTTGGGTCGGATGTGGGTCACATGTTCCAGCTGTCCAGAATCGGACACGTCGTAGCTCGTCTTGTACTTGGCCAGAATTTTCATCAGTGGATGCAGCTTTAGCCACCACTGCTCCTTTGGGATCCGATGTCTTCACATGCAACAATAGGGTGGAATAGAAGGTGGGTTAAAGGTCAGAAGGAACAAAAGGTCACACAAACACAAGCCCCCCAGCTCTTTCAGTATTTAGTAGAATTCTGTTTCATCACATTCACTTTAAAAACTAAACTTAAGGTTCAGAGTTCTTTTTTTTCTTACACAAAGTCCGTCTGCTCGTGCAGCTGTGACACAGGCTGGAACACCAGAGCTCTGCGACGCATCCCCAACAAACAGGCAGATTCCTCCGAGTTGGCGAACACCCGCCCTGCACCCAGGACTCAGAGTTAGTCCTACATGTTGTCAGTGCACTGAGTGTTCATGATGTCATTGATTCACCTCCTTTATAAGACTCCTGCAGACTCTGAGTGATCCACTGCATCGATTTGGCAGCCACTTTGGAGCCAAAGTTTCGGTCAAAAGGAGATGGAGCGCCCCCCTGTGGGCAGGTGACAACACATTTCTTTGGTTTAATAATACACATTATTTACATTCGTTCACAGTATCCATCCATCTGACTCAGACTCGGCTCGTCTGTCAAATCCCCCCACCCACAAAATATGAGCGTAAATGGCTGCCTGATGACATCACACTGTTGTCCAACCTGCTGCATGTGACCCAGGATGTTCTTCCTGCAGTCAAAGATACCGCGACCCTCCTCAGAGTACAGCTGGTAGATGAAGTCAGCCGTGAAGTTCTCGTTACAGTTTTCATTCCTGAACCAGGACAGAGCAGTTCATGACGGTGAGCGGTTACTGAACCCATGTTATGGACTTTAGGACAGACATCACTAGTTTACTTTAATGTTTGCAGAAGGGGCTGAAGAGTTGATCTCCCCACCTGAGAACTAAACCTCTCTGGATGCTCGTCTTCATCTTTTCCGTTAAATGCTCCACGTTGGCCTGAAAACATGTTTGACAATAATAGACTTCTTTTCTATGCATCAAATACCAACTCCAATCATCACCAACATTAAATACAGCAGATTATGTATCGGCCAAATGTACTATTTTTTTTTAATTAATTGATTTCTTTTTAAAAAACAAATTCTGTTAAAAAGACCAAGTGTACCACTTGTGATAGGTTAACCATAGTTTGAGAACCACCAGTTTAATCTCAACTAAGTGGGCTCTCTCACCTGCAGATAGCGGATGTCAAACGGCTCCTCAAAGATGTAGACGGTGTCGGCGCCAGCAGCCAGCCCCCCCACAGTGGCCAGGTAGCCACAGTATCCACCCATGGTCTCGATGATGAAAACTCGCCGCTTGGTGCCGCTGGCGGACTGTTTGATACGGTCACAGGTCTGTCACACATACAAACACGAAACACGAAAACAGAAATATTGTTTAAGATCGATTCATCCATTTCTTTAGGTGTAAAATGCTACATATTTAGTGCATTTCTGAAATACAACTGATTTTGTTGTTTATTAGCCTTTAATATACTTATTATTTAATCATCATTAAAATGTAATTATTTCCCATATATTCATATATTTTTACTGTCATAAAAAATATATGATAATGTATTTTGAATATGTATTGGACAAAAATATTTCCTGTGTTTGTTCTGCAGGTAAATCAGTCAATTTCTAATCCCAGAATCAAACGCAGACACAGTGATGAGGAGCTGCAGATACAAAGGGACTTTTTTTTTTTTAAAGCGGCAGCTTCAGCCCATTTTTCTGGATCGTACCTCCACAATGGCATTGAGAGACGTGTCAGCACCGATGCTGAGATCGGTACCTGGCACATTGTTACTGATCGTGGCCGGCAGCACGCACAGTGGGATGCAAAACTCCTGGAAGTCGGCTCGGGCCTGGTACAACTGCAGCACGGACTCAAAAGCCTGGGAGCACAGGTCAGAGTTATTAGTGTGACCACCAGAGGGAGCCTTTAATGTCTCAACCTGTCCATCAGGGCAGGGTGGGGTCTCACCAGTCCTTCACAATCATTTACACTGGCATTCACACCTGGGGTCAACTTAGTGTGAATAATTTATGTTTTATTGTTGTTATAGAAACATTTAAAGTTTTTATAAAAACAAACCAAACACTACCAACACAGTATAAAGTACCTCAAATCCTCCAATAACAAGCAGAGCATTGATGTTGTGAATTCTGATTTGCTCAGCGATCTTCTCCAGATGTTTCCCAGGAAGAGTTCTGATGAAAGAAGGGCGAAAACTGAGAATTAAAACTCAAGAAATAAGAAGTGCTTTGAGTTTTTAAAGTATCATTTTTCAAACTTGAACAAACAGGTTGATGTGTGACTCACCGTTTTGTCCCCAGCAGCGACCCTCCCTGACCAGTCCATCCTCCAACGTCCCCCCACTTGATCTCTTTAATCTGAGTATAAATATTTGGTTCAAAAAATTAAAAAACAGACAAAACTACATTGTCATGTGGTGTTTTACAAGAAATATTTTAGACATGAAAAGATTTTAAATATGTGCTTATTTAAAAGTCACTTCATGCTAAGAAAAAGTCAAATTTAAATCTTTTTTTTTTTCTTTATTGTAGTTGCACAGATCGTACACTGGACGTCCTTCTGACTCCTGATGCTGTTTCATGAGAATCAATTTTAGCTTAATTTTCACAGCACTTTCTGAGATTCTCACAGTCCTGTAAGGGGAGTAACAGAGTAAAACCCCAGGCGGAGCGGTCTCTCATTTCTCACCTGCCCTTTGTAAAACCCTTCAAAGCCGTCACTGACTGCGAACATCTTGTGACCCTCGGTGATTCCCACTCTGACGGCCGACCGAACAGCGGCGTTCATACCAGCAGCTGGAGCGCCAACGTTCAGCACGGCCACGTTGAAGAAGCTCTGACAGATTCACCCAGTGTGTGTATGTATTCATACAGTACTGCAATACTTCTTCCTAATGAACCTATCAAACTTTGTTTATTTTGTAATTTTACTGATGACTTACATTTGGAAGTTCAGAGTCGGCTTTGCGGTTAGAGAGGAGTCTGTAGGTCGTCAGATTGTTTTCAAAGCTCCTGCACATGAATAAAAAAAACATACAAATTTAACTGTTAAGCAAAACTAAAAAATGTGAAATTTTCTAAAAATTTTAATTAAAAAGAATTAAAATACCCTCCACGGAGTCCGACGGCCTCGTCAAACTTCTTCTCATCCATGGCTTTCTGGACTTCCTGAGTCTGAGGAAACAAGAAACAAATGGTCCTTTTTTTTTTACTGAATGAAAATATGAAAACTGCAATAACAACACGGTCAGTGTATGACAAATAAAGCACCATCACTTGTCTGTCCGGTTTCACCTTCTACCCTCGTGTTAATACAGTGATCTCACCATCTGAACACACTCCATCAGCGGCAGGCGAACAGCCTGGTTCCCGACCAGAGAGACCACGCAGGCGGGGGTGTTGGTAGATGCCTCTAATAACGCCAGCACTGCCTCCACCCCCATACGACTGGCCTGCAGGGTTCACACGAAGGTCACGCTCAGAACAACATCTCATCTCATCATTAGAATTTTCATGATTGGTCTGTGATGGACAAGTGTCAGAGAATCACAACAAACACATTAGGAGCTAAATGACAACGTGTGTATAAGTTACCAGAATTCTATCGAAGGCAGAGGGGGTCCCACCTCTCTGGACGTGGCCCAGGATGGTGACCCTTGTGTCAAAACCCAAGCGGCTGACCACCAGCTGGGTAGACAAGCAATACATGAAGTGAAAAAAAGAAGAGACAAAAGAAACGACAGTAAAAGTGTGATGCTCAAGAAATGCAAACTAAAAAATCTGATATGCTCCACAAAGACAGCTGTGAACTCACGTCCTTGATATAGTCCGGCGTGATTGGCTTGTTCTGACAATCGATGGCACCTTCTGCTACAATTATAATGTTCAGCCTTTTTCTTTCTGCACGGTTCTAAGAAAATAATAATAATAATAAAAAGTCAGTTGCATGTAAAGATGATTTTTTAATAGTGTGTGTGTGATTGTGTGTCTATGTGTGTGTTGGGAACATAGCCCTGCTAGACTCTTGTACATCATGGGTGTGTGTGTGTGTGTGTGTGATTGTGTGTGTTACCTCAGACAGTTTATGACACATGGTTTCCTCCCATCCATCTTCTGGGGGCATTTCAGGGATGAAAACCCAATCAGCCCCACATGCCAGAGCACTGACCAGAGCCAGGTATCTGGACGTACACACGGAGAAAATAAAACAATAAATACTGGAAAATCATATATTCTTTTTTATGGTAGATGTTGACTTTTGATTTTTTTTTTATCTAAACATTTTTGTCAAAAGATATAAAAAGATATACAAACTAAATGTAACTAAATGCTCTTCTTGTACTTTACAACTGAGAGTTAAAAAAAAAAAAAAAGTTCCCAACCAGAAAAACAGGAACAGTTCCTACCCACAGTGTCGGCCCATGACCTCCAGAACAAACGTCCTCTGGTGGCTGCACAACAACCAGACAAAGGAAGAAGAAGAAACCACTGTGTTAAAACACTGAACTGAACTGAACTGAAACAGACTTGATTTTAATTAAACTGTCATTGTTATAAGTTAACATTCATTAGCCCAAAGTTGACCACGTCCATTTATTTTTTAACCTGATTTCATTAATTAAACTAATTGTCACCTGATCTGACTGATGAATTTATAATAAATGAATAATACGATACATTTCTTTTCTTTTCTCAGCCTCATGTCTAGTGCAACTTTTATATATATATATATATATTTTATATATATTAAATTAACAGACAAAAGAATACATTTTAATGTCAAAATAAAAATATTAACATTATTGATAAAAATTCAAATATTATTCAAATCAAAATTGTAAAACATCAGTAATATATAATTTTATTAAATAAAATTTAAGTTAAATAAGATTAATTGTTTTGACTAAATTAAATGTTTAAATTACATCAAATTACTTTTTTTTATTTAATTTTACATTTATTTATAAATGTTAATGGGATGTTTATGTCAGTGACTCTTTAAACTTCAAAAATTACATTTGCTATTTCATTTAACCAGAGTTTGGTGACAAGTTGATTGAGGTTTGCAGGGTTAAAGGTCACAGGTGTGAAAGTGAACCATAAAGTCGAACCATAGAAGAATTTTTTAACACTTGAAACTTTTGCACTAAGTCCACCTTTCATCTGCCTGTTGTTGTTTTGACTTTTCTTTTTCACCTCAGAGCAGTGGTCATGATGGCGTCCACCACCTCGATGATGCGATGCAGGGCAGAGTCAGTGCCAATGGTCATGTCAGTGCCACAGAAATCATTATCGATGGAGCCCACCATACCGACAATGTGCAGCGTTGAGTTGGAGCAGGATTCCTGCTCAGTGATCAGACCTGCGGACGGACACAGACATGGAGAAACAGAACCACGGCGTGACATAACCTTCAGTGGAAGAAAGGTCACCTTGCTGGAGAAGCTGCTCCAACAGGCCGCTCCACTCTTTTCTGAACAGGTTGGCACCGGTCAGGCTGCCGTCTCCACCAATCACACACAGGTTGGTGATGCTGCGCTTCACCAGGTTGTATGCTGCCTTCAGGCGTCCCTCGGGAGTACGGAAATCTTTACAACGGGCGCTGCCGATGACAGTTCCACCCTGAAGAAGCAACAAGTTATAATTTGGTCAAACAGAGTTAGAATAGTCAGTGAACTGTTACCCAAATACTAAACTTATAAATAGGGATGCCCCTATTTATGCCCGATATTAGCATAATTATGTAATATCTGTAAGAATCGTTATTGTTATTTCTTCCAATAATGAAAACCCGATGGTGCAATGCCTGGGTTTCCCCAAATTCAACATCACATCCGTCTCTTTGGACTTCTTAGTCTAGCTCACCACTTCCAACATGCTGGAGACACTTTCCCACGTCGCTTCTTTGATGTTATCTCCTCCGTCCACCATCCCCTGGTAACCCTGGCAAAACGGAAAATTAAATTTTACATTTAGGGCTATATTTGGTGAGAACAAAGACATTTACCGACTACCTCAAAAGTCTGATAAGGACATTGTGGAGTCGAGTTCTGGTGAAGATTTTGAACAGAAACATTTTTCACTCACCTCATGGATGAAGTAGACTTTTGCTCCAACATAGATGCCCATACGGACCACGGCCCTCACCGCTGCATTCATGCCTGGGAAAAGAACAGAAGCTCAGACATTCCAGGGTGAAGGTGTCAACAAACAGACCTACTGTCAACCAGGACACAACTCTGGGTCAAGGTGAAAGAAATAGGACAAGGCACGAAGGTCCTCTGCCAAAACATAACCGTCTGGACCGGTAGCACTTAGTGAAATTAGATACAGGAATGACAGTAAATTCCTGTCAGAGTCAATGATAACAACACAACAGTTCTGGAGCCAAAGCTTTGATCTGTGTTTAAAAAAACAAAACAAACACCCGTCTGCAGAGTCAGACCAGTGCTACTCCCAATGATTTATAATGGAATGAGTTGTTCTGTCACTGAACTTTGATTTAAATCAATCTGGTCTCTTTGGTTATTTAGATTTGGTAACAAACATTATTATACGGTTTAAATTTACAGTCGTTTAAAAGACTTTTCATCTAAGTATCTCTGCTATTTGCAACGTTTTATATCTGTATCTTTATTTAATCGTCTTTATTTAAACCGTCTCTATGAACCTGTGAGGACTGTCGTCCTTCACCAACACTCGGTGCGTGATGCTGATCTCTGCACGTACACATTCACCATAAGGACAGACTGTATTCGTGTGGATGATCCAGTTGTCACCTGTGGATCATTCTGCAGCTGCAGCCATTGAAGATGTTATTATCACCACTAAATCACCTTAAATGAACACAGTTTCCCTGAGCCACAGATGAGCGGGTGATGAACGTTAGACTTAACTGTTGCGTAACGAACCCTCGGTTCCGACCCCGGAAACAACTTTTAGACAACATTCAACATGACCTTGACATTCATTTACTGATGTGATGGAGTAAAACTCGTCTTTAAAAAAAAAACAAAAACTATTATATTGAGTTTATCTTCAAAGATAGAAAAAAAATGAACCTTCCTGGTTCCATCATCGGACGATGCTTTGGCAAAAAAATAATTTAAAAAAAAAATCTCGTTCTTTACTAAATTAATCTTTCTGCTCAGGGACAGGTGACTTAATTGGTACAGGAATATAGTTTTTTTTTTTACCTTGGGCATCTCCTCCGCTGGTCAGCACTGCGATAGATTTTCCATCTCCGGATAAATTCTCGAACAATTTCCGTGTGTCTTGACGCTTCGGCGGCCCCGTCATGATTTAAATACCGTGTTCGTTGCCGTTAAGTGACTACGGTGAAGCAATCTGTATATACATAAAGACAGTAAAGAAGAGAAAGATGTGAATGGCAAGAATAAATCCTAAATTAGGAGACGGGAGAAGATGTAGTGAAGCAGACCGTAGGTTCCTGCCCCCCTATGACGACACGCCTCTGATAGCTGTGTGCTACCAGAAATGTACACTTCTTCTTTCTATTTACGTCAAAAAACGTATGTTTTTAATAATACTTTGTTACTCTTCTATACATGTTCACCTGGGGCCCATTGGTGTTTTAAAAAGAGACAAGAATTCAACACATTATTATTTTTTCTCCATTATTTGGCTTCTTCTAAAACCCACCAATGAGCATAGAGATCACGTACAGAGGATACACAGTGCAGCCAATCATAGTCGACAAAGGAGGGCCTTAGTCTCCATTCACTTTTACAGTTCCAACGTACATACTGTATCACGATTATGTTTTTGTACATTATTTTTATTATTTTAATTTTTACTAAATTACACATTTTTTGTTTCTTCCGTTTCCCAAAAATATTTCTGAGGGGGCGAGGGGGATACATCTATATGTAATTGTTAAGAAATAGTTTGGCAGGAAACAGTAGAGAGAAGATTATGTTTACATTCAAATATTATAACATATTGATACACAACTTAGTACAATGGCTCCCCGGGTTACAGCCCTGAACAGTTACCCTCCATATAACATAGTAGAAACTTACACATGTTCGATGTCTGTAATGTTACTCTTCTTCTTTCTCTCTCAATATTTAATATGGTCTTTCCTTTACTTCACAACCTTAAGCAATTGTTTGCACAAGGTTGCGTGGGTTCATTTTAAAGCGTGCGCTGGAATCACTTCATATCTGCACTGGCAGAGTGCAGGAGTACTTCTGAAGAGCCTCACAGGGGCCACACCAGGGTCAGCTGTTCCTGGACCGACTCCAAGATTCTTCAAATACAGAATAGAAGAGCAATGTATCAGACAGGACCTACAGTATACTGTAGTCTATAATTAAATGAATAAGTGTGGATCAACAGGCTGTTACTGATGCAAAACTATCAAAAATATTTCAAATAAACCAAAACAGCAACGACTAGATAATAATAACATATTTCATTTATATGGCACTTGAAAACAACAAATCTCCCAGTACTAATCCAAACTTTAACAACACATATGACACAAATATACACTTCTAGAGCTCACTCTGAGTGCATCTGTATTTCATATGGGTTTGAGCATAGACTTGGAGCTAACAGTGTAACTTAAAGGTTCGGGATTGCATTATATTCATGAGAAAACCCTTAAAAAACACAAAGTTAAGCTGTCTTCTTGATTACAGACCTGGGGTTAGGGTTAGGTTCTCTGCAGGACCACTGCTGGGAGACAAGTATCTCCTTGTGTCTCTGTACTGAAGCAAATACACAGAAAAGATCCAGAAAAAAGACAATACATAAACCATGAGCCCAGCTCCTAAAGATAACATATCTACCAATGTCCAACTGAATCTGTCACGTAAGCAAACTTTCTAAACTAAGCTGGTTTCATACCAGCACATCTGCACACAGCAACAAACCACAGCAGCACAAAGACTAATAATCCTTCCACTATCCTCCCACTCTTGGACATAGTTGAGATAAACTCCACACTCAATGTACAGGTTGCATAAAGTAGGTCTACAGCTATTCAAAATAAATGTAATATGCACCAGATATTGCATTGTGTTCAAATATTGACAAAAGAAGTCTGATTCCAATGAAAATTGGGACAAAAAGAAAAAAACCCCAGAATACAATTATCTGCAAATCAGTTACAACTTGTAGTTAAAGACCAGGTTTTTACCATTAAAAATAGATAAATATAACTGCTGTTGGTAAATAAACAAGTTGATTGATACGATCGATTGATATAATCAAACGTGTGACATACTGAGGCATACAGCTTCAGTCCGACTCAGAGTCCCTGGTATTGGCTTCAGACTGGAGCAGGATGGAGTACTTCAAGGGAACATCAAGACCAACCAGGGGACCAACCACACTGAGCCAAGTTAACACAAAGTTCACTGGCCTGTGCAAACAAACACACACACACACAGACACACTGTAGCTTCACACATGTGGGTGATCAACAAATGGCCAGATTTAATTGAAGTACATTAGAGCAGAAGAAGCCCTAGGAGTTGTCTTGTAGCTGTACCTGCTTTGATCATGAGCTGCCTGCAGAACAGGTCTCATGAACTCCTCTGTTCTACAAGGATGGATCTTGAAAAAAGGCTGGCCCAGCAGTGGATGCTCCTAAAACACAGAGACACACGAGATCTCAGTGCAAAAGTTCAACGATGATGAAGCTGGTGACAGTGTTTGCAGGGTTTTTTACCTCCTGACTGATTGTACTGAGGGGACTGTTTTGAAGACGTTGTCTGAAGTTCGGATGAACTGAGTTCCACACCTCCTCTAATAAGAGGCTCCTTCCCTCTGTAACATGTAAAAGTAGCTGAAATTTCAGTATTGTTGAATAAAATATACAAATGATGTCCAAATAACGTGTCAAAGATGGTATTTGAATTATTTGTGTGTGACCTACCCTGTGTGAAAGCCCTGAAATACAGCACAGGTGTACTGTAACTGCAGGAGAACAGAATGTGATACTCATACTGAAGCACCTGACAGATGTCTTCAGACTCTATATGAACTTCATCATCATCATCGTCGTCGTCAGCTATTTTACTTGTGATGGTGTCATCATCACATGAGGCATCGGGAAAAGACTGAAGAAAGAGATTGTAGAGGTCACTGCAAACACTATGTAGATACAGTATATATGTTAAATATATATGTAAAATACAGACAGAAAAAACTATATAAAATACATTCAAAAGTTGTTTAAAATTTAAAATTTCTAAAAAACAAAATCTTACATGTATATTTAAAAAAATTCCATTTAACCACATGTGAATAG